GTGCGGCGTCCGTACGATACCCGCAGTCAGATCTGACCTTGCTGTGCTAGCAGCTCATGGGAGCAGACCCTCTACAGCTCCACTGCCACCAGCACTCCCCCGAACTGACTCTGCTTTTGACGACCTGCAGAAGCCGTCAACGGTTCCTGCAGACCATGGTCTAAGAGTGGAATACAGCCACATTCCTTCGAAACTAGCAATCCCAGCAAGATCCAGGTGATCGGGGGTCTGGCCGATGGAAAAATTTCTGAAATTGTCCGAATTCACTCCGCTCCCCCACCCTTCGATTGCCAGGGCATCTGCACGCCCTGTCCGCAGGGATCGAGCACCTCTTCTCCACCAGCCTGGAGATGTGGAGCGCTACCGCTTAGCTTTAGTAAAAAGACAAAAACAGAAGGAAATCTCAAAGTTCCCCAAGCAGGACTCACTGCCAATTCGCCTCGAGGTACAGGGCGTTGAAACTCACGTCCCTGTGTTGACAATCCCGAGCAATGGAGACCTCTTCACCTTCGCTCCAGGTGCGAGGCGGTTATTGGGATAGTCTGCCCTATCACAAACGACATTCAAAGTTGAGCCCGAATTGCCACCCTCTGCACATGTCGAAAACCTCAACATATCCAGCAACTGCACGTTGAAGGCACCTTCTTCGGCTGGGCCACTTTGGGCTCCGCCGGACCTTCGCGAGGGGCAGGCGGACGGACAAGCGTCTACATGTGACTCCCAATGACTCCCACATTGGAAGACTTCTCCTCAGATTCTCATGAGGACTACCAGTTGAACAGCATTCTCCCATCTCTGATCCGAAGTCTTCTGTTCATCTCACGACAATGGATCGGCCTCGCATCCGCAAGGCTGGTGACATCCACAATCGCCTCGGCATCTGCTTGTAGGAAGCTTCGAGGCTGGTGGCTGGCGTGAGAGCTCATGGCTTCCAAACCTCTCTCCGAATCTGTAGGGAGGCTTGTCCATCGGTCAGCCGAAAGCTCTTGGCTCAGCTTCGAAGCTCGACTGAACCCGCCATCCTCCACCCGCTCCTCGGCCAGGGTGAGCTTCACCGTGTTGGGTCGCCCTCCCTGGCGGCTGCGCGGTTGCTCTGTTTCTCTTTGCAGCCTGGGGTTCTACACAGGGTTTCTGCATTTGGAAAACCATGGCTTCTGCTGTTTTTTCTAGGCATGCCCAAATTGCGATCCTTGGCTTCCACCAACAGGGGTGGGCGCCGAAGCAGCGATCGAAGTGCCTCGTCACGCGAACAGCGTCCCTGGGCGGCGGGAGCGCTGACTAATGCTAATTACCATTATTCTGTTGTTCCAATGTTCCTAATACTATCATGGCAATATTTCGAGCGGCGATCCTAGCAGATGTACGTAGAGTGTGTGATGTCTTGGGTTGCAGGTGCGCCTCGTCTGTGAGGCGAGACCAGTAATTGGCAACACCGGAGTTGGCATTTAGTCCTTCGGAAGTACCCTGAGAGTGACCCTTTGTCCCATGTCCGATAGCGTGGGCATGCTTCAGACATGCGCGCACCGGATACTGTGCCAAACCTCTCATCACAAAGGATTTCTGTGCATGCCAGGAATTCGCGGTGGCCAAAAACCCCTGTCACGATTCTGTTTATGCAGGTACACAGGCTGTCAACACTTGGTGCTTACAGCCGCCAAGGCCTCATGATTGCATCCGAGCATCGTAGAACTCAACCGAGGTCCTTAAGGCAAAATCTTGGTATCAAGTCCTTGTGACAACCTGAAACCACGAGAATCGCAACTAGATCGGATAAGATCCACATCGTGACACAAAGAAAGGGCTGGTGATGAGCTGCACTCTGATAGCTCCCGTCTGCTTGAAAACATGAGATAGGGTTTCGAGTTCAGAGTTTAGGAAAACCTCTCTGTCGCCTTCTGTCTCCCCAATCGTCTCCTCACATGTTTGGGAGGGTTCTGCTGCTCCGTCGGCTTGAGGAACTTCGACAGCCATATACAGCCATCCCCAAATCACCGACGAGGGCCCATCTCCGGTCACGTGCTTCCTGCCCGCCTGCACCGCATGGAGCAATCTGTTTGTTGGGCGCAGGGGGTCGCTCCAGCGACCCTCAGGCCATTGCCCACACTCCGTGTGACGGCTTTGGCGTCTCAACACGTCTTAACTTCGGCACGTGCTACTTTGGAAGTTCTGAGTTGGGAGATCAGGGCTCGTCCCTGCGTCCCTGTGGCTTTTAATCTAGACTCCCTGCGAGCAGTCGCCCTGGAACCACCGGCGCGCTCTAGATTATAGGAGTCCCCCCCCCGCCCCTCGGCGCGCAAGAGCGCACCCCATTCGCTCTCTCACTCTCGTTTTGAATTGGTGGCCCCTCAGACCCTCGCATACGAACGCAAAGCGCTTCCCACAGGGTTCGCTGCCCCGGCACATTCCCGCCACAACGAGGTCGAGATCCCCTTGTTGCTGGCCGCAAAGTTTTGCCAGACCTGGAAGAAGTTGGAGCAGTTTGGGGTTGGGAGAGTGGTTTCGGCTCGAGGGGCTACAGGCTCCCATACCTGAAAATCCAAACTCCCGGAAATCACAACCTTAAAATTTGCAGCTTGGAGACGTTCACAGCGAGACCTGGCCTCGGCTCCACATCACGCCAAGCATCAGCCATGCAAGCAGGGGCCGGTCAGGGCCCGTTTGAGGGTTGGGGGCCAGGGCCTGTATTACCGGTGGCATGTGAAAATGTTGATACCGCTCCTCGGCGATTGCGGACATTGGCGCTGTGACGGCGGAAGCCGGTCATGTCTCCGACAGGGTGTATAGTCGAAGCGGTCTTGTTTATGTAGAGGTGTTGACTGCGGCAGGATGCGGTCAAGCTTGCCCACGAAGCGGGCAGGGAAGGCCAGACCCAGAAGCATGAGCAATTACACGACGAAGTTTTGCGGCCATAGCATGCAAAGAAGCATTTCGTTGCGACGCAGAGCGATAGAAATACATAGGTCCTAGGTGCGACCGCCAATCAGAAGCCAAAGTTCCACGACAGTCCGAATCTGTGTTAGTGGCGCCACCGGTGTTGCAACCACTCATACGACATGTTAGACGACCCAAAAAAAGCCGACTATGTGAAGCTCGTGCATCACCCTGCCGGCTGCCAGCCAGAAACCTAGAGTTCTAAAATGTTCTAAACACAGTCCGGTGGCTGCGAGATTCACATCCAGACTCGCGAGGATTTTGTCGCGGAGCCATCCGCCCGTGACCCACACCTGGCAGCCGTCGGCATCAACACAACAACAAATGCTAGCGAAAGGCTTCCGGCATGGCAGCAACAGCCTGCAGCCGTATCGGCAACATGATCACCAGAATCGTCAGTGTCACCGCCATCTTTGCTTCCTGTCATCCTCTCCATCCCCCTTACCCTGCTCTTATCATCCGCAGTGGTGTCCTCCAGACCCCTGATACCCCGGATACCTTGGCCATGCCCTGCAGCAGCTTGAGCATGCCGTCCTCCTTGGGGCTCAGCAGCTGCCGCGGCAAGAGCAGCACCATGGCTCTCACAGTCAGGGCGGATTCAAGCTTCGCAATGAGTGCAATTGAAGGGTTGGGCTCTCACGAGGACAGGCAAGAGGCAAGCCTAGCATGTCTTCAGTGGGTCGAACTCAGAGGCCTGGCAATCTTCATAATGCTAAAGCTCATGGCCCCACCCAACCATGGGTGTGCAAAATATCCTAGTGACCCTGGGCTTGCGGGTGTCATCCTGCATGGCTGTTCGATTGATCATGCTGCGGAACCCCTCTCGGCTATCATACTGGAGCTGGGGCCGGTTTTTTTTGCCTGGGGCCGGTTAAGGGGAAGGCTTGAACCTCCTGGTCTGGGGATCATACAGCGATTCCCAACAATGTAGACGGACAGTCGCCCGTGTGGCCTTACCTTCATTTGGCTTCCTTCAGCCCATGCAAAAAGGGAAGCTCACCAAGCAGGCGCCTTCCAAGTGCACCCAGAGATCAATCCCGTGAATATCAATATCTGAAAGTCCCGACAAACCTGAGAGCATGGACAGGGAAGAGGATGGCCTGATTCGTCCTCGTCTGGTTCTTCAAGGACGCGCTCCAGTGGCTCCTTTCCGGAAACTCCCAAACACCGCAAGAACAACGAAGTGAGCAGGCTAGCCCTGAGCTGTGACACGAGCAAGAAGCTGTTGACTCCCCACAGGAGCGCGGAGGTCCTCGCGACCAGAAGCTAGGATGCTAAAACTCGAGCCAGTTGTTGCCCCACGAACCCGGCACACAGCCGGAAATTCGATGTCTCTCATTGTATAAGTTTGCCTGCGTAACGAAGTTGAGAGCATGAGGCTGCCAGTGTGACAAATTATGAAGCAAGACAAACAACACCGCCATGATTCAAGACTGGCAGGAGAGCTAGCAGCTAGCACCTTACAAACCCCACGAAGAGTTGGCAGTAATCTGTGGTTGATGCGCCAGCATGTGCACAGTCAGCATCAGAATTTCGAGTATTCCGAACCATAAGCCCAACACAAAGGACTTAGGCGTGTACTTTGGCTTAGTGCAAAGTAGCGGCAATTCGGCGCAGCTGAGCTTGCCTGCACCAATTGCGCGAACTTCCCTGCCGTCATACGGCCGAACCCTGGCGACACCGAGAGGCAAGAACGAGCTCGGGAGGATTCAGCTGCTTGGGCCTTGCGCTTCACAGCGAACACGGCCTGGATCCGAAGATCCTAGCCGAGCAGAATCCTCCTTCACAGTAAGTTTCTGAAGGTCAGGAGACGACCAACAGCGGGCTAATGCTGGCTCCACAAGCCAGAACGGCACCCGTCTTGAAGGGCCGGCTGTCGCACAAAGATGTCTTTGTATTTCCGGCAGGTCTTGGAAGTAATCAAGTGGCTCGTTCTGGACTGAAGCAATGGCACATGACAGCTGCCGGATTAGCGAAGACCTGGCCAACTGTACAAGTGAGAGCGTGCCGATTTACGGGCAATGCTCAGGATATGGGCGTTGTGCCAAAACCAAGTGACGCGAAGAGGCTCAGGCCAGAGGCTCAACTGGGTTGGTATAAGCACCCTCGGCAATCTCTCTGCCAATGCAAACTGCCTGAGTCATCCAAAAACAAGCAGCAGCAACGGGGAAGTCCCTCAACTGGGGAGCAAGAGTACAGGAAATGCCAGGTAGAGGGCTCTGTTGTGGGGATCGTTGTTTAGGCTGCAGGTTTTGAAGCTTCAGAAGCTCGCAGTCGGATATGCTAGGCAGGGACTGTAGCGACAGTCTGACGGGGTGAGAACGTCACAGAAGCCGTCGTATCGCTTACAGCCGACAAGTGTGCACACAGGACATAGGATTTTCCTCCAGCGAAAAAGACTCCTCAAGGCAACAGCACCACGACACACACGAAGATAGAGAACCCATGCCATCCACACCCCAATCACGCATGCCTAGGAAGTGACTGGAGGCCTCTTAAACCGCATATCTCCTCTACTCCGGAGATTATGACTTGCTCACTTGCAGACATGAGGGAGCTCATCCAGTGTCATGAGGTCTTGGGGGCTTCGAGGTCTATAGGGTAAGCCAGCATGCCCTGAAAAATCGAAATCCGGTCTCGGATGGATGCAACGAAAATGGAGCCCCGGTAACTAGTTGCAGCCTATTAATTGAGCCCACTAGTGTGTCCTACGCTTGGTTCTACGCATATTAATGGAAAGGCATGGCCCGCGAACACAGGACTGGCACGTAAGCCAGGTACCGCAGTCCAGAATGTGGTCGGATCCACGAACTCGTGGCACTTGAAGTCCTTCACCTGGGGACCCGCTTTTGCCAGGCAAGTTCTGCCCTCTAAATGGTTCATCCAGTCTGGCTCCGAAGAGTGCAACGATCGGAACGTCGTGTTTCTGGTTGTTATGCACGGCTATACTTACGTTTGTCGTTCTTTTGATCACTAGGTACACTACCGCGATCAACAGAAATGAGGTCACCTAAACCCTCGCACCCAAAGCCGAAGCCCGAATGTGCACGCTAATGCCTGAGCCCCAATCCGGATGCCAGATCTTCTCCTCCTCCCCTCCGACAAGTCACGCACCAAATGCCGCCCTCATTGTCCATCCGAAGCTGGACCACGTAAGGAGCCCGACTCCACGCAGAAGACCTGGCCCAGGGTCTCTCGCTTCCGATGCTCTAGCACGTACATGCCAGGCCTTGCAGTGAAGACTTGCTACGCCGTGGGCCACATGGCGATATATATATATATACATGTGTACGTATATATATATATACACACATACATACATACATATATATATATACACATACACATTTAAGTTATGTATATATATATACACATACATACATATGTACGCATATAGCCAGACATACATACATACATACATACATACATACATACATACATATATATATGTATATATATATATATGTAGACACACACACACACACTTCTCCCAGGCTCTCCCTTTCTTTCGCCAGGGCTCTCTCTCTCTCTCTCTCTCTCTCCCTCGCTTTAGAGCATATGCTCCCCCCGGCATACACCATGAACATCCATGAACTCGATGTCCTGTCGGAAAAGCCTACGCCACGCCTACATGGGACATCAACCAACGGCACTCTGAACTGATTCTGGAGGATTGTGGGAAAGACATGTGAAACCATCCGCGCTTGCAGTTGAGTACAGGACAGACCCTACTTTTGCTGCGGAGACGAAATCTAATCAAGAAGGCGTGTGAAACTTGCGAAGCGAAGCCCCTGCGATCCTCTGCACACCTGGATAACCCTTGCAGTTCAAGGACAAGTTCAAGGCGAGCCTGCATCGAGACGACTTGAACACTTGTGTGAAGTCGCCGTCTTTCCCAATCTGGAGTGTCGCTTGTCTAGGAACATGACATCTTTCAATGCCGCTGGTTCTACATCGCATGGCAGCCGACGCCTTTCTCCCTAGGTACTCAGCTGTTTCTCGATGAGTGTTAACAGCAAGTGCTATGGGTCTGTGGCATTGTTCTGGAACGCTGCATGAGACGAGGCTTGTGTGGTAGGCCATGAGGAGTTTCCACCAGGTGCCAAATAGAAGGAGAGGATGCCAAATCATGGGGATCTTCGGCACATACTCCAGTATTCACAAAATAACTTCGTCTAAAAAAAACCTAAAGGGAAATTCTTACATTCCCTCGTCTGGTTCGGAAGTCACAACGAGGGCCTTCTGTTTCATCCTTGCTGCCCAGCCACCATTCCTCCGATGTTGATCCGTGCCTCAGCTTGCGACACATCCCAGCCCACGTGCACCACAAAAACATTCCCTGCGCTCCCAGCTGTGGGCTTGGCACTCTCAAAAGCTCAAAAGAGTCATGCAGCGTTGCTGCCGAGCATCATGGGCCTGTTCACAAGTTGTAGGCCGTCGGAACTTTCCATGCGTGATGGCCTCGCCAGAACGTCCCAAAACAGAGCAAGCAAGAGCCAGAGAGAGAGAGAGAGACAAAGAGAGAGAGAGAGAGAGAGAGAGCGAGACGAGCGAGAGCGAGAGCGAGAGCGAGCGAGACTTGCTTTCTACATACAGCATGCTGCGACTTGGATGCGATCTAGCGGTCATAGGTGACCACGTCGACAGCGACTTCGAAGGCATCGGGCTGCCAACTGGTCCCGTCTTCCCGCCAGAACCAAAACACCCACATTGAGGTCACGGCATACTTGACCCGCGAGGCAATGTCTGCAAGCGGCGTCGCTGAAGCATCGAGGCATGGAATTGACAGCATCACGTAGTTGCTGGTGCATGCCACCTCGCAAAGGCCCAGGACAGGAGTCGACGGCTGATAGAGGGAACATGAGGGAACTAGGCCCGCATGCATCCTTCGTGGCAGTGCAACTCCGACCCTATATGCTGCAACAAAAGCGTCGATCTTGAAACCACTTCCGCTGCCTCTGGGCTCGTCCCGTTTCCCCAGCTCACAAGTTGTGGGCGGGGAAAACTGCGCGCCGGCATGGAGACATGTCGAGCACACAGAATCCCCATGCCAGACTGAGAAGGTCAGTGGCAAACTCAGCGTGAAGTTTTGTCCAATACCTGGAGGATCTCGACTCGATGAAACAACATGTACCTGAATTCCGAATCCCCAAGGATACCGGCAGCAACCTTGGCATGCCATCAAGCGCCAGCCGTTGCCGTTATAGAAGTAATCTCTGCTCTAAGTGCTGCTGGGCGGTGTACTTGTTGCCACCTCCTAAAGGGGCCCTTAAAGAAACCCTAAAAGGATCCTAATAAAAAGAACCCCTGAAGGTGTCCAGGCACTCAGTACTTCCCGCCGAGGCACGGCCCCCTCGGCATCCCCCAACCTGCCATTTTAAGGGAATTGTTGAGGGGATAAATATAGAGGCACTGACCATGAGAATAGGGTTTTTCTACTATATTTATACTAGGACGAATTTTAAAGGATAAGCCTGGGCCTGTCCAAAATGAGGAGAGTCCCGCCGCCCATTGAACAGGGACAGCCGTGAAGGAACTCGTTTGACCTTTGGCCCTGCCACTCAGTCTCGAAACTCCATTTATTCCTTGTCTCCTTGCCTCGTTCATGTTGCTCTATCCCATGCGGCAAACAGGCCAGCTGCAGCCTGCCATTGTGCACCACCATGATGCGGAGCAACTTGTCGGGAAGCATCCTCCACAAAACGGAATGATGAGCTCCGCTGCTGGACTTGGGCTGACACTGCAACAGCCCGTCTCATTCCGAAGCCTGCACCACACCAAACGAGGCTCTAGGTTTCAGAGGAATTTCCCCCGAAGGCATACACCCAGTACCTTTGTGCACCTCAACAGACCACCGGGAAGAACTGCCCAAAGCCAGCGCTGCACTAGAAGACTGGGATGGTCCGGTATGCATGTTACGTCAGTGCTTCTGTCCCGTTCCTATTCCCAACAAACATCTTTCCCGAACCCATCCCCGCCGGAACATTGCGGCGATGATGCATGAAAGCCAGGCAATCTCCTGGAAGCTTGGGGTTTCAGGCCTAGCAACTTCGTAAGAGAGGCCTCAAGAGCAGGCTGTGACTGAAGCAATTTTTTGGATTGAAAGCTGCTTTGACTCATCTGTAGAAACCACATGCAAGCCCTTCAAAAGGTGATTTCACACTGATGGACTCGGGCAGGGATTGCTCGCTACAATGTCGCCGTCACAGCCCTTGAAGCAGATCTGACCTCGCTGCATGCCATCCGCTGTCCCGCCATCCTTGGCAAAGGGCACTGGCAAGTATGACAAGAGTACCCGCCTACTGCTATGCTACACCACGATTTTGCGTTGAAGCTCATGCCAAAGACATTGACAAAACACAACACCCTGCCGACAAAGAAGTCACAACAACAAGGACTCGAACCTTGGAACGTCATTCCAGAAAGCATTTGACTGCATGCCCCTCATGAGAAATACATCTCGTGATGAAATACATCTCTCTCAGCAACGTCATGGCCACCACTCCTCGCAGTCTAAACCCAAGCCAGGAGTCCGAAGAGTATCGCAAACTCCGTGGGTAAACTGCACCCCAACCTAAGCAGCTCTGTCATCGTCGACAATGGTTGTGCATGTCCGGCCGAAGGTTCTGGATCCACGCCCACAGCTGCTCTGAGCCACCCACGCTATGACCCCATTTGTGGTAGTAGGTATCGTTGACAATGTCGAACAAGTACCTTTCCAAGTTCACAGAGCTGGAATGAAGGTCCGACAGCGGCATGTGAAAACATCTGCAAATTCACCGCAAACTTCGGGACTTCTAGCCAACACAGAAAGCTGCAGCGCACACAATGCTCAGGCTTTGATTCGGCGCAGGCGTCACAACGTCCACGCAGGCGTCACAACGTCCAAAACTTTTGCACCAGACTGTCACATGTCTCATCCACATCTTCACTTCTAACACCTTTGACATCCACTGTCTCACATTTGCCACCCCTTCTGCCAAGCGGCACGTCCACAGCACCCTCTTGTCCGGCAGCGCCACTCCTGCCGGGCCAAAGGTCTGGGCTTGGTGACTGGTGGTGCGGACCCCAAGGAGCTGTCTGGAATCTTCAGGAGGGCATCCTAAATCAGGATGCTTCAGGCTCATGTCGGGTGATTGGGGCCCCGAAGTGTCTGAGACTGTCATTGGCCTCAATTGAATGCGAGAGGCTTCACTAGAAGAGCTTTCGCTGATCGAGCTTCTGATTCACTCCACAAGCACGTAACACACGAACCATAAGGTTGGTATATCCCATAATACTCTCACTTTGAGACAGTGGCGTAGGCCAACTGCGTATGCGGGGGTGCTGTTTTTGGTTCCTGCGCCTTAATCGTGGCTTGCATCAATGCCCCGTGAAGGGAGGCCCGTGACAGCACAGCTAGCAACCATTGAACACTTCTACTATAGGGGCCTAAATGATAAGAATCGGGCTTTGGGGTGTATTGTGTTTCATTATGATGATTAATCATCAGGCACCCCCCCCCCCCCCAAAAAAAAAA